GACATCTTGGCGTGAACCACGTTGTCAGATAAAATCTGCAACCCCGCTCTTTGCGGCCCGCGTTTTGGCGGCGCCCTCGCTCCCACCGTGTCCGCTCGCTTGCTCGCTTGCTTGCCCCGCGGACATGGCCACTGAGTCCGGCGGCGAGGATTCTTGGACCCAGGTCCGCGGTGCTAAACGCCCGAGTGCCGAGTCACCTCCAAGCAACACCACCACCTCGCCTTCCCAAACTCGTCGTTCTGCAAAACACACAAAACATGGCAGCGCTCGCCACGACCGTAACCATGTTTTCCCTGACCCCATGACCACCCCGCTTCGCCCTCACGCCCGCCACTCTGCCTCTACCGCCCGTGCCTCGTCTCATGTGCCCTCGACGTCCCCCGCTGCCGGTGCGACCGAGTCTTCGGCACGTGCCGTCGTGCCCGCGGCCGAGCCAGTGACCAGGACGTCAAACGGCGGTGGGGAGCAACATCCCAGCCTCGGAAACACTTCCAATGCTTCTCCCCGCACCCCTCGCACGCCATCCAGCCCTCGCTCCTTTGCTCAAGTTGCTGCGGCAATGCCTGCCGCCGCCACTGCCACATCTTCGGCCCCTGTGACCGAGGATTTGTCAGCATCGGTGCCCTCTGAGCCAAATGGCAGCGGGGAGCAGCAACCCTCGCCCGAGTCCGCGAGACAGACACATCATTCGATTCCTAACACACCATCGGATTTTTTGACCATGTCTTCGGACGAAAGCGACTCCCCTCCTCGCTCCACCGCACTCCGCGCGCCCACCCCTATCGCCCCTCCCGCGCATGATGGTGACGGTGACACAAACGGCAGTGCCACGCCTGAGCCATTGGTGCAATCACCTACACCCGCTCAAATGGTGCTGCCAGATCCATCGGATACACAGCAAACCCATTCCGATCCCTCTCCGCCCTCGGCTTCACCCCCTGCCACTGCCATTTTGCCCGCTGCCATTTCACATCCTGTCGAACACAGTGAGCATACAAACTCAGCCCCACTTGGCGAAGTCAGTGAGAGTGAAACACACAATACAGCGAGCGAACACAGTGAGAGTGAGCAAGATGTTCTTCTCAGCGATCCCGCTCCGTC